TTGTTGGTTGCTAACCTCCTCGGCAGAGGCTAGCAGAAGAACTACAAGCTCCACATCTTTGATTTCCTTATCTGAAAGACTAAAGCAAACATCACGGAAGAAACTATTAAGCATAGAGATATCAATAGTGTCATCTAAAGAAAATCTGCTGACATGTGCTCCTGCGATTCGAATAGTATCTACAGTTGATAATCTTTTAGTATGAGACATGATTCAAGTACTTCAGAGGCTAGCTTATAGTTTACCACAAGTGAATAATCAGTAAAACAAACACTGACTCATGATTTTTTGAATCTGAGATTTACTATTAAGGGCATTCCTAGCCTTCAATTTCCTGTATAGCATGATTCATTCATCAAATCCTTCCATATCAAAGGGAGAGATTAATCAGGAGGATTAAATTGGAGAGTTATACTAACCAAATTATAGCCGATTATGATGTTCACCTTTATCTCTCTTTGCAATTTCTGATTTCTTGGTGATGAAGCCTACTGCAACAATTTAAGATAATGTAGGATACATTAAATATGTATGTAAATCCTAATACCAACCTCAGCCGGCTATGCAGACTGGTCTAATAAGAAGGCAAGTGGATAGGAATGTGAGTCAGTCTTGGCATAATCAACAATTCTAGGATAACAACATAAAATAAATTATGCCTCCTAGGTGAATGACAATTCCAACTATGTACAGGATAAAGCCAAGCAAACAGCTAGCATGATGTGGAAACTGAAGGATTTCTTTTATTTTACCTGAATAACCATAGTTTATGCTAACCATATAACCACTAGATTTATTTGGTCTAATAATGCTTTAAGAGAGTGGAGAGTCCATGATTTAACTTATTGAGCATAACAAGTTTCAAACTGAAATCAATGGATTCAGCATTTTAGGCAATTTTTAACTCATTTAGAAATTAATTTAGCAGAACTCATAAGCTTCATAAGTGTGAGACTAAACTCAATGAAGCCAGCAATTTAGGAAATTCTAATTCATTTATCACAGGGGAAAAGTGGCTAAAAAGGTGAAATCATTCTGTTCTCTAATCTGGATCTGAGCAGCCTTTTCTAGCAGCAAATTAGAGAAATAGAAAGAGCTAAAATGAAACTAAAGTAACTTTGCAACAGCAAAAGCTTTAATAACAACTCAAAGTAACTTGAAGTACCCATTTCAGATCTATCCATTGAGCTCCCATACAAAACAAAAATCAAACAGATAGTGAAGCAAGCGAGCAATCCATATCTGGAATGGTACCAAAAATGCAAGCAAGATCAATCCTCATAACTGTAAAGCAGATCTAAAGATAAATGCATGAGAAGAGCTGAGAAAAAAAAAAAAAAAAACGCAGCTTACAGTTCTAGTCTTTCTTGTAGGAGTGCTTGTCCTGAGCCCGGAGGTGTAGTTCAGATTGGCAGTCCATCCCTTGTTTATTCTCACAGTCCACCCAGTAGCCTGCATTTATTGAACTGAATTTAGGGTCAGAATATGTCTTGGGGAGCACTTCCAGGCTAGTTCATGTGGTTAGTCATTTTCAGTCAGCCTCAAATACTTTATAACATCTTCCAATCTCATTGCCATTTTCCACACAGCTTGTAAGTTTTCCATGTATAAACTAGAAACATCTTGAAGGTTTTTTTCCTATTTTTTTTTCTGCCACACTGAGCTGACTGCTTGCTCATCTCAGTGCTCTTCATTATACCTGCTAGGGTGTTCCATGCTCAAGTGCAGAGAGTTCTGGTGTTATAGTTTATATCCATTCGCAATAAAGTCAACATTCC